ACATTATTTTCCATTAAATAATTTATTATATTACAACCTAGTATCTTAGGATTTAATATGGTATCTCTGAAGAAATGGATGTGAGTGTCTTATAGTCAATAGTTCAAGTTTTCTAAATATTAGAGTGTTAATAATCCTCAAGCAATACTATACCAATATTACTGCATTGAAACAATATAACATCTTAAGATTTACAACAATATAATACGAAAGATAATAAAAAGAAAACAAGGACCTTATCATGTTTCCTTATTTGTTGTACCTCAAATATGGTCAAACATAATCCATTAAAAAAAAGAAAAAAGAAGTTACTGTCACATATAGAATCAAACAGGTCCTTCACATACATAATGCAAATCAATTGAGTAAAGAAATAAAAGGTGAAGGAACTAAGTCAGAAAGTGAGATATCAGATGAGGCTGAGTAAAAATGGTCTAATATAGAACTATTGAAAGAAAACATGGAAAATTAGAAGACTATGAAAATGTAATTAGACAAGTAAGGAGATCATGTCACTTTACCTAGAATTAAGCTTTACTGAGTTCCATAATGCACTGAGAGTTTGCACAGTCTAAGATGTGGCACATTCCATTCACTCCCCACAATGTCTGGAAGAAGAAACTCCATTTCTTCAGTTCTATTATTCTATGAAGACTTTCTACATTAAGCTAATTAATCTTTCTTTAGGCTGCAGCTTTACGACTGCTAAATCTTTTAAGAAAATATATGAAAATAAAAGTTCTTACATAAGGTCTTCCTGCAATGATGGTGGGGGCTCTTCACTGAAACTTATAGCATTCTCCAAGAAAGTTGCTAGAGATACTGTGCCACCAATTATAATGTCTCCCGATTCATGATACGTATGCTGTGGCTTATGGGGAGTATGAATGTTACATTTCGCATTATAAGCCTTGCATACTTTTGGAGAGAACAGTGCTACCAACAAAAGTACTACAAGCACCATCTTTGGCACAAATCAAATCTTGCTTCTGCATTCGGATTCTTATTTAATTGACAGAAATCTACTTGACAGAAATTTAATTAGACCTTATGATAAAAAAAAAAAAACTATTCATAGGAGGGGGCCTTAGAAAAGAAGAACCTATCATAAATCTATCTGAAAGATCAACATCTATTTTCCTTCCTTTTTGCACTTCAGATAGGTATCTGTGTTTTTAAAATTGTTCACTTTCCTTTGTATTTGGAAACCAAACATCCAAAGGGGATGGAACCAAGAGAAGTATTAATTACCAGTTTAGAGATAATTAACCAGTAAGATATTTACTCCTTCAATCCCCACAATACTTGAGGAAAACATGTTTTCTTCACCTTTGAATGAACTTTCCTCTCCAACTTAGTTAGAAAGAAGACCTGTAGACCTGAAATATTCAACAGCAAAAAGAAGATGTTGGAAATACTTAGATCATCCTTGCCCAACATGGTTACCTCCAAATATGTAGACACTACAGCTTGCACAATTCCCAGTCATGCACAAAAAATATTCTGGATATGGTCAAATCCAATGTCCATTTTTGGTTTCTGTTAAAGACATTTTGGGGGTTGTGCTTTCCTCCCTTTTTTTTTTTTTTTTTTTGCTTTTAACAAAGCAGGGATTCTATTTGGACAGGGTTTCAAAAATAGTAGAGATCCCAGTTTCAGATGGGCCCAGAACTGTGCCATAAAGTTCCCAGGTGAAAGGATAATCAGTTTTTACATCTTAAACCTTAGGCTCAACTCTCTTCTTGCAACTGTCCACCATAAGCACAAGTTACTAACCCTGAAAGACACACAAAATAGCTAACCTTGGATCATCCTTGAGTGGGGTGGACTTCCCTGTTTTCAGTCTTGCACCTCACTTCTCTGAGCAATAGGAGCTTAAAAAGGGGCTCTATCTATATTTGTTGCATCCATAAGGCCAGCAGTCAGAAATAAATAAATAAATAAATAAATAAATTAAGTCAGTCAGTCATGAATGAATGCATGTGATGTATAAATGTTAAAATTTTTAAAAGCGGGTTTTCTTAGTTAAGGTTTTGATTTTTATCTTTCAATGTGTTGTTTATAAGAATCAGAATTCTATAGAAATAAGAATGTTACTGGATTAACGATGCCACTTAGCATTGCATTTCAGTCAAGCTGACTCTGAAGAACGAAGTAGAAGGCAGAGAACAAGTGGCAGACTGGCATTTTGAGGAAGTGAAGCATGAAAAAGTTCCACCTCATCTTAATATTGAAAGGAATGTCTATATTTTGGTTTTGAAAAAATGTCAAATAGAGTTGAAATCAGGATGGAGCCCCAGTCTCCAGGCTAGGTCTGATTGATTATCATATTACCAATATAGAGTTGGGGGCTTTAGCTGTCTTGAAATGAAATGTAATTATTCATGACTGTTGAGGCACCTCTTTTATCTCCTCTATGAATCTTTGTCAATCTATTATCAGGGCTCTGGCTGTGCTGGCTATGAGCCCAGAGATTACTGCTGTCATTTGTTTAAAAAGAAGGTGGGTTTTTTTTCACACCTCTATTGTTTCAGTTCATACTTTAGTGGATAGTTAGTTTTCCAGAACACAAAAAAGAAAGAATATTGATATGCATTTTAAAAAAGTAAGGAAAGGCAGATGCTATAGATAAAAACAGAATTGGGTATCCAGGAAGGATATACAAGTAGTCCTCATTAGCAACTGCAATGGAGACTGGCAACTTAGGACAATGAGGCCTGCGACAGCACTCTTAGGTGTTACAGGCATGCATCTGCTTGACTGCATTTCTATGAGTTTGCCAATCAGGAATTG